TAAATAATAACAAGCATAACAACAATGAAAATAACAAGTTAAATGAATAATAAGGATAATAACGAGATAGAGAAGAAGAAAAAAAAGATAACGAAAATAATAAGTGTAAACTTTCAGAAAGTTTGATTAGATATATGTTTATGTAAAGATAAGAAGAAGAAAACAAAACTCCATATATAATCGGTTGGATAATTTAAAGAGTAAAATAAGATAGAAAATATGTAGATTAAGTGTTATAAAGTGGATGTTTGCCTAACGACAATATTATAAATAACAACTGAAAACTGACGATTATTATCATATTAGATTAGTATGAACAATACTAGAAATTAATGTGACGTAAACAAATACAAAAAAAACAACACTTGAAATAATAATAATAAGGTGGAGAATAGGAGGAAGAAGAGGGTAATAAAGTGATATCGATGAACAGGGGGTGTTTTTATTACGAAATATAAGGGAGAGATTAATCAGAATGGAAAAGTGAATTTTATATTAAAATATATTATTAAACAAAGAAAAAAACAAGCTTGAATTGTTTTGCATAATAGGCAAGTGCATACATATATGTATGCTTGCTTACACATACGTATATACATATAGCCTAAATTAATAAACCGTGACATTTAAATTTAATAAAACTAGTGGAAATATGTTTTTCTTATGAACACACTAATTATATAGTATGAATGCGTACAAACAGCCGATATATTTTACGGAAAATGTATGTATGTGCTGGAATGAGGATATTTGTTCAGTTCTACGTGATAGTAAACATAGGCTTTTGCTATGAATAGTATATATATACATATATATTATACATATATTTTTGTTTATAAAATTATTCATTCAGTAAAATTATAAACTTTAACATTGAAAAATAGTTGAATTCTAGGAACATTGTGCAAACTACAAGCCTCCATAAAAAGTATGTCGAAGAATCTATTCTCTCATGTACAATGAAGAAAATAACATTAAGATTCTAATGACTAAATGTATGTTTATATATACACAGTCGTGTATTCATGTGTATTGACATATATATATATATATATATATATATATATATATATATATATATATCGGTGTTCGTGCAACAGAAATTCTTAATTATACTGAATTACACATTGTCAGGTTGAAAGAGAGAAAAAAAAAGTAAAATAAAAACTTGAAAAATAGGAAATAATTGAATGTGAATATTTAATTATTTTTATTATAATATGGTTGACCAAATATGCACGCGATCAGGTGTAAACGATTTGAAATACATTTCTATGCTTGTTATGTTTTGTTTCTTTGTGTTGTTGTCGTTTCTTTTGTTTTTCATTTTCATCGAATGAAAAGCGTTCCACATCATCATCATCACCATCATCATCTTCATTATTAAAGTAGAATAGTAAAAAGTGTAAAATAAATCAACAATGTGGGAAAACTAAAGAGGCGAATATATTTTCTGAATTTTTTTCCCTTAAAATTATAATTAAGTTTTGATGGAATTATGTATGGAAAATAAAAGGCGTGTTGTTTCCAGTGAATTTATTTTCCATTTTTCTTTAAAAACAGAACTGTTTACAAGGGAAAATTTTCCCTCAGTTTCAAAGTAAATACATTTAAACAGTTATCTTTTTAGTTATGGAAAATAAATTAATTCAGTAAATGTGCGAAATTCTGTCAATAAATACAAACACTTTTTATACAGTAGATTAGCTTGTAAATGATTTAGAAAAAAAATGCCTAACGAAATTTGTTATATACTGACAAATAGTTATATGCATATTCGTATTGTCTATACTCACAAACTGTAGACTGCTTTTTATAGGTCAATATTGAGATAAGCACTTTATCTCCTAGTCACTAAAGAAAATAACACACTCAAAGATTCTAAACAGAAATGGACGATGGTGCTTATAATGCTTATGACTTCAGGCAATATCGAGGAAATCCGTACAGGATGCACATATGCCAATAACAGACTGATCAATTACAATTCTAAACATCAATCGGAAAATTAAAAAAAAAAACAGAATAAAAAAAGGAAGATCTTGAGCTAGATCACATAGTGAGCTAGCGTATGTCCGCTGCTGAGAAGTTCCATATAATAAAACAAAACAGCGGTTCTGTGCTTTATAGATATTTTAGTTTCCTGAGTCATTTCTTCACAAGAAGATCATAGCATAGGTATAGGAGTTAAACTACCAAGTTTTTGACGAAGCCAGAATTAACTGACATTTTACTTTTTATCTTGCTCACCAACATACAAAACACCGTTAATATGCGGTTTAAAGAGTAAGAAAGAACAAGACTAGCATATTTTACTGTTTATTGTATATAAGTACCGTTTGTACACAGCACAGAGAAGAATGGTTACTCCCAGAAGGTTTTCATTATAGTTGGCGAGCTGAAAAAGTGAAAAAAATTGCTTCTTAACTATTATTCAGATAATGAATGATTTATCTTCAAGTCGCAATAAATATATTTTCAATTTAACAGAAAATTTATCCCATTGGCATTTGTTTTCATCAAGATTTGGTATTAACTAGAGAATCGTAGCAAGCCAGAGACCAGTGGATATATACTTACTTACTTACTTACGCGTGTTACTCCTCGTGAAGGAGCATAGACCGCTCACCAGTATTCTCCATACAACCCTGTCCTGGGCAATCCTTTCTAGCTCTTTCCAGTTGTAATTCATCGTTTTCATGTCTGCTTCTATTTCCCGACAAAATGTGTTCTTTGGCCTTCCTCTTTTTCGCTTCCCTTCAGGGTTCCAAGTTAGGGATTGCCTCGTGATGCAGTTTGACGATTTGCGTAATGTATGTCCTATCCATTTCCATCGTCTTTCCTAATTTCCTCTTCAGCTGGAAGTTGGTTTGTTCTCTCCCACAGAAGGCTATTGCTGATGGTATCCGGCCAATGGATGTTGAGTATCTTGCGTAGGCAGCTATTTATAAATACTTGTACCTTCTTGATTGTGGTTGTTGTAGTTCTCTAAGTTTCAGCTCCATACAGTTTAACTGTCTTGACGTTCGTATTGAAGATTCTCACTTTGATATTGGTTGAAAGTTGTTTTGAGTTCCATATGTTCTTCAATTGTAGGAATGTGACCCTTGCTTTGCCGATCCTCGCCTTTACGTCTGCATCTGAACCTCCTTGTTCATCGATGATGCTTCCTAGGTATGTGGAGGATTCTACATCTTCCAGAGTTTCACCATCAAGAGTGATTGGATTACTGTTCGCCGCTTTGAATTTGAGGACCTTGGTTTTCCGTTTGTGTATACTGAGGCCTACTGATGCAGAGACTGCTGCTACACTGGCTGTCTTCATCTGCATCTGTTCGTGTGTACGTGATAGGAGGGCTAGGTCATCTGCGAAGTCCAAATCGTCTAATTGATTCTGAGCTATCCATTGTATTCCGTGTTTTCCTTCAGATGTCGAGGTCTTCATAATCCAGTCGACCACCAGAAGAAAGAGGAAGGGAGAGAGTAAACAGCCTTGTCTGACTCCGGTCCTTACTTGGAATGCATCTGTCAGCTGTCTTCCATGCATGACCTTGCACTGTAGTCCGTCATATGAGTTCCGGATAATATTGACAATCTTCTCAGGAACTTCGTAGTGTCGAAGAAGTTTCCATAACGTCCTCCCGTCTACAATGTCAAATGCCTTTTCATAATCAATGAAGTTGATGTACAGTGACGAGTTCCACTTAATTGATTGTTCGATGATGATCCGTAGTGTCCCAATTCGGTCTGTGCACGACCGATCCCTAAGGAATCCAGCTTGTTGATCTCGAAGTTGGACGTCTACTGCATCTTTCATCCGGTTCAGCAACACTCTGTTAAAGACAGTGGATATATACCTTATTTTAAATTGGAATTTCTCATTGGCGTAAAATTATGATAAATATAGATCATTAGAGTCAACAACTCTCTACGAACGATTAGTTCAAAAACTTAGGTGTTCAATGGAACCAAGTCAATTAAGAATAATATAGTAATAAAGTATACTTTGTGTTGAGCTGTTAGCCTAACGATATGTAAATGATCTATTAATTAACTGATGTGCTTAGCTTAACTAATAACCATTATTTTATTCATGGAAGCTTAAATAAACAAAAACGCAACAGATAAATAAATAACATTTTATATTCCATTATAAATATTAATAACATTTTTCTTGACAAAAACTACCCACATTTTAAAATTTTTACTAAAAATAAAACAGAGATCACTTTATTAAAACTTTCACCCCCCCCAAAAAAAAATTTCCTCATATTTTCTTCGCATATAAATTAAGCCAAGAAATCTCATATTATTATACATCTATGGATGAATCATGTCAAGATGAATGATGTCATAAACTTGCAGTCAATATTGATACAGAACCGGTATATATCTAGATAAACATGACATTATCCCTGTGAGAAAACAAAACAAAACAAAAAACTATGGTCTCATATGTGTATAGGATCAATGTTAATGACTTGAATGACTAAAATATTATATAATTTTAATGTTTGTATCTATTTTATTTTATTTTTAAAAGGATCAGTGCTTTAGGCAGGGTCATCATCATTAATACCTCACACACAGACACACACAGTCCTTATTATTTTTACTCTACTTTCCTCTGAAAAAGGTTATTACTATTACAGCTCTTATTATTTTCATCATTGTGAGATATGACAGAAAAAACTTCAACTAGCTATGAAGTATACATTTTCTTGTCAGTTTTACATTTAAATATTTTTTGTTCATGGTTCAGTTATCTTAACCTTATGTCACCTGACACTTGAAAAACGGTAACAGGTGAATAGAAATAGTTTGCGTGTTATGCAAGAAACTACTTTTTTTCTAAAAAAAAAACAACAAACAAATGCTGATTAATATATAAATATCAGTTTTTATAATTTATATTTGATCTGTTCACTATAATTTTTTTCCTGTGTTACTAAAAAAAGGAAACATAATTTGTATGGTTTGTTTTACAAATTTTTCTGATAGAATCGGAACCTAAAGTAATTAATAACGAATCAACAGCCAATTCTTCTGATTTAACAAATACAAAACCATTGGACATTGAATTACAATCACAACCGATTAAATCTTTACCAAATTCTTTATCTAACCAACTTTCACCAAATGATATAGCTCAGTATATTTCCACAAATACTTCAACGAATTCACTTCCCTATATTCCATTTGATCTAGTAAATAATTTAGAAACACAAATGAACGATAGCAATGCTACAGAATTAAGCCGAATTCCATTATCAAATACTCCGTGCAGTAGTGATGATTCTATAAATCACACATCAATAGCAGCTGCAGCCGCTGTTGCTGCTGCCGCATTTTCTACTTTACCAATCAACCCGATTGCAACAATGACAGCAGTTGGTGCAGTAGGCGATTCTCTTAGCAATCGATCATGGGACACTATTACTCAATTATCTACAAATAAAAATGCAAACAATCAATCTACATTCAATCAATTGAGCTCAGAGGTTTCACCAACAAGTTCCATAGGAAACACCTCAAATTCTGTCGTCCAGTCTGGTATACCACGAAAATCGCCTAATCAAATGCGCGTATTGTGTGATATTTGTAATAAATGGATCTGTAATAAATATTTTTTAAGAACACACAAAGCGAACAAACATGGCGTGACAGATCCGTCTTTAGGATCCTTAGAATGTTATCGATCTGGCAATGAAAAATCATTTCCTACTATGAAATCGCATATGAATACATCTTTTCGACGAATAATGAATCAGTGTAGCAGAGATACACTTCAAGAAGAAGACAAAAATATTGGCGACTACACTAATCCAAATTGTATACTTAGTTCTCCTTGTGAATCCCAGGTATCGTTTAAAAATTCAAGTATAACATCCACTCAAGAACGACGGACCCAAAACTCCGAACAAACAATAATTAGTTGTGATAACTCAATAGGAACTCCCTTAACACCTAGTGATGTTTCTGGAACAACCATTTCATTTCCTTTGACATTCCAAACTACTGTTGCTACAAATTTACCTTGGCTTGGTTATGGGTTTCCATACCAATCATCATCATTAGTTTCATATCCAACAATTAACTATCCGAATATACTACCATTCCCAATGCTTCCGAACTCAGATATCTATCCATATTCACAGACAAATATAGCTGGAAAATTAGAGACAACGGAATCAGTTTTACATAAATCTGATTTACACAAAAGCTCAATGGATAGAGAATCTGAAAATGAGGAGAACAAGGTTAGAATTAGCCTAAATTTTTGTTATATATTCAATTAGATTCTTTGAAATAATAGATAGAAGGATATTTATAAGTAACTTTATAATAAAATGAGAAATATAGCTTTCACTGCAAACTGACTTCACTGCAAATAATTCAGTATTGAATAATTTAAGAAGTTTCGCTGGTAAAATACCACCACTCCATACGAGATCAGAAAACAGAGCCCTTAAGTCATAATATGAGCTTCATACTATTTTAGACATTCGCTGGTACACAATTTTAACTTTGGCCAGTTTATTCATTCCTATTTGTGAATTATTAATTCATGTACTTTCAACTTCTTCATTTCATCACTACTTTTTGACAAAATTCAACTTAAAATCAGCTAGAAACTGTTTAACTTAGTCAAGTTATATGGTTTTAGAATGAATATTGCTTAAGCTTTTGGATTGACTGGAGGATATTTCAATGCTGAATAAAGCGGAGAAAAATGGGAATTCTCGAGAGATTTCATCGAATTTCGGCATCTTTAATTGAATATAATCTGATTTAACAAATGATATTCATAGAGTTACTCATCATCCTAAGTATTTTACAACAACAACAACCTCTTAATTCATTGTGTGTTTTCATTATATACATTGAATATCATAAATTAATTCATTAAACTAAAGTTAATCAACATAATATTGAGTAGAAATACAATCAAAGTTTAGAATAGTTCTTCGTTCAATTCTCTAGCTCAAGGTTGTTGAAGATTATATCAGTGATCTAATTTATGACGTAACCTATAGATTATAAAAGAGTTTATATCCTAGTTTATGTTATATGCTTACTATGCAAGCGGCAATAACATTACATAGATAGAATTGCTTTAGATTTTGTATCATATTGTCTAAAGTTTGATTCTTTATGCAATAAGTCATTAATATACATTAAAGGGTAATTTAACAATAGATTATTTCGTACACTTAATAATATTGTATGTGCTCAAATCCCTTCTGTATTATTTGAAAAATAATTTCAGCTCTCAGTAGATTATCAGTCAATGTTAACTCTTTTTATCTACCTAGATGAATATATCTTCTATTGTACTTTATAAAAACAAATAGTTTCATAACAGTTAGGACCTAAATATAGAAATTTTAATAAAATTGAAATTAGATTTGTAAGTTTTTTGAGATCCCTGATTATATAATATCATTTCTAACATTTAATGAATATTAATTAATCATTATTGATTTATTATTGATAAGTGGTAATTATAAATAGTACTACAAGAGAATTCTAATGATGATCATAATTTCTCAGTTCGTTTTTCTAAAAGAAAAAAAAACGAACAAACAACTAATAACTAAAACCGATGCAATAAATTACGTCAATAATCAGTAGTGGCTAAAAATAGAATCGTTTAGTCAAATATTTAAATGAGATTCATTATTGCAAAGAATATTGTTTTCTTGTTTAATATAGTCTAAAAACATGATCCATAATTCATGATTCTAATATGAATTGAAATGAGTTCTTTTTTCTCTTTACATCTTTCACTATCGGTTCATATTTTCTCATTAGTAGTGGAAATCACTTTTATCCATCATTTAGTTAAGTTGCAACAACAACAAAAAAAATATTGACTGAACCTATTAAATTGATTATCTCAAGGAAACGTATAGATTGTTTGGGAGAAAAAAAACTAAGTAACTAAATAACCAATAACGAATGTATCACTTTCGTATACAAATAATCGATTTTGTTCAAAATGTTTACTTTTTTTATGTTTCCTTTTGTTCTACTAAATTATTTCGTTTTTTCTCTCGCATTTTTCCTTTTTAACAGAATCCGTTAAATTTAAGTTTAAAAATAACTTCAGAAGATCAGAAGAATATTTGTTGTTGTACAGTATTGAATATAACAACTAATACTGTTTCTATTGGTAATAATAACAATTGTAGTAGTGTTACAACCAATATTATTAATAAGTCACAAGAAACAAACATAATAAATAGTAAAATGAATTGGTTAAAACGGGGACAACTAATGAAGAAATATTTTAAAAATCAATACTTTAGTTCCTTTTGCATCAATCATTCACGTCAACGATTACATTACATATCAAATCAATTGTTACTATCATTACAATTAAAGAGAAAATCTATTCAATATGTTAGAAGAAAAATGTATATGAAAAGAAAACAGAATACTGTAAGTAGTTTCATCCCTCTATTTAGTAACATTTTTGTCTTGTTTATTTTAAAAATTATCCAATAAATTAAGTGGTAATTTCAAGGAAAAGAATGTGAAAGAGGAAATTTAAACAAAAATAAACATTGAGGTCAATTTCGTGAATTAGTTGAAGTTAGACATTAACACCGTTGCATACTGACTCAGTGGTCTAGAGGTCCCGGGTTCGAATCTCGCGGGGGCGGGGGCGGAGTAGTGAGTGCGCACTGCTGAGGAGTCCAATACCATGACGAAACGGCCATCCAGTGCTTCCATGTATTCCATGGCGGTCTAGCTTCAACTGACCGATGATCTTAACGATTAAAATTACTTAAAGATGGATTGATAGTCAGTAGTGTCTCAATGGAATGAATAAATAATTATGTTGATTCAGTAGGATATATATTTGAATTTTTTTGATTAAGATCATAAATGAATGAATGTCGGACTACCATTAAAAACCTGAAAGCACTGGACGGCCATTTCGTCTTAGTATGGGTGTACACTTCGAAGGAGTCTCATACTAAAACGAAACGACCGTTCAATGCTTCCAGGTTTTCAGTGGTAGTCTGACATTCATTCATTCATGATTTCAAACAAAAACTCAACAATCTCCACAACTCCATTGCTAATATCTGACATTTATAAAACACTGAAGAAAATGATAACGATTTTATTCAGTTTCTGAAAATAACATATTCATGACCATGTTCCCCAGTCAAATTTAAGAAATCGACATCCATGCCAAACTAAAATACAATAATATTTCAGACAAATACTAATATCACATGATATTTGTAGCTAAATATATGTAAATTAGTTGCATATGTCAATTATTCACACAAACTTTTCACATGATAAAAGTGGCGTTGTTTTTGAAAAACAAAAGAAAAGTAAAAAGAAATCAGAACATTTAACATTTTCTTTCTAATTGTACTTCATATCAATTCAGTAATTTAATCAAGTTGATTTGGTTGATAAACAAACGTGTTAAATATAAAATAATGATCTCGTCATATATTAAATTCTCAAACAAATTAGGTAAACTTCTTTGTTTTGTTTTTGTATAGTTTTGTTGTTATTATAAACTGGTTATATTCATGTAACTTTTTTAGTGGAAATGAAATGCTAAATGAAAAATAATCAACAATTTTTTAAAAAAAAAACACAACTGTAAATATGCATACATGAATTTTGTTTGTAGTTAAGTGATTTATCTAATTGTGATATATTTGTATTTCGTTGTTGTTGTTAAATTCACATGTTCCGGTGATTACAATAATAAAACGTTATATGATAGTCTTAACTTGAAATCTATATAATCAGATACATCAACAAATATATTCATAAGAATGAAAAGAACTTCCCTGTGTTATTAAGTGATTTTATTAAACACTTCTGTGTAATATTAAGTGGTTCCAGAATGATTTCATCAGTATAGTCTACATTACAAATCATATTATTATAATGTGTGATACTGATTAACTGTTTGTGTAGAATAAAATATTCATTATATTTCATAAGTTAAAGACAAAATGTTTTTACGGATTCGAATTGTACTTACGTCTATTTCTTTTGTGTTCTTCTGAAACATCGCTCACAGTCAGCAACAACGTAGAACTTCGTACGTGCGTACATCAGTTTGAGTTGTTATACCACATTAGCACAGAGATGCAGTTGTCCATTCACATCCTGTAATGATAGAGGTAGTAAGAGTATAAGCAGTGATCGAAAAGATTAAGGTTTGGAGATGTTATTTAAAAAGTATAATCCAGTGAAATAAATTTGGGAAGAGAAAAGAGAGACAAGGAGGAATCAGAAGACTAGAATTTGGAAAAACATCGCTCTATCTATAATTAAATGATGGTAAGAGTTTTTTTAGCGCGTTAGTTTTCTATGGGATAGGGTCGCTAACCCCATGCTCAACCCTCCCCTCTTATCCGGGCTTGAGACCAGCAGTAGCTCCAGAGGGGCTTCAGGCGGAGTTAATTAAGCGATCTATAATATGTATATAATGTTTTTTCCTTACGAAACTACTGTTTAAATTCCTAGTAACATCGTGTTTTTGCCTGTTACCTGTAAAAGTTCACATAGTTCATACGTACAGCGCCGGTTTTTCTAAACTATAAACCATTAGTATAAATACATTAAAAGTGGAAATTTGTATCATTAATGAATACCAGAAAAAGAAAATATTTAAAAAGAAATATACTTTCTCCTTTTAATGCCTTTTTAAAATTCTCTTCCGATAAAAATAATTATTAACAAAACAAACAATATTTTACCAACTATGAATTTACTGGTAGTTATGACAACACAGGCCACTCACTGTTCTTATGCTTTCACATTTTCCACATGACACTTGAACCTTCAAATTTCAGGTGGTAAATATAAATCTTAACTGATTCTATTTGTATGTGTGTTTCTTTTTAAATAAATTAGGTCAATTTATAAATGAATTTAAAACAATTTTTTTGAAAAATTCCCTGGTTGTTGTTGTTGATTTAAATAGAAAGTTTGTAAACAAAGATGAAACATTAATTTTGAATGATACAAAAAAATTAAATGTTCAGACTAATTGGGAATCCTTCTATAATCTGAAGCATTTTTTTATTTTGAAAAGAAAATAATCATTAATTAATTCTTTTATAAAATGAGAAAAAATTTTTTTTGAAAAGTTTACAATTAGATTTTGTTACCATGACATTGAGCATTTTAATTTATTACTGTAGTGAAATAAAATCTCATCGGAAAAAAATTCTTAAATTCTATCCATCTTTCAAGACTATGAACTATGAGATGAGGTCGAATGAAATAATTTGAATGTTTGTTTAAATTTAATAATTTAATCTTCCAATAATCAAACACTTTAGAATCGACTTTTCAGATTTTTGTTACTCATGAAAAAAGATACTGATCACTATGGCTTTCCCATTAATTTTATGAAGGTTTTATGAAAAGATAGTCTAGTATGAAATTGACAAGTTTTTTGTAACCAAGTGAATTATCGAAATTATCAGAACATTTTTCACTTCCAACTGTAACTATACTTTGATCATCATCACTCAACCATTGATTGTCCATTAAATGTTACTTAAATTAATGATTATAGATATGATATTTCTTGGGCAAAGTTATAGGCCTAAAAACACTTAATGTTAGATGACTGACGATATTTAGAGTTTTTTTCCTTCGAGAGTTTATCATTGTCTAAAAACTATAATTTCTGTCCTGTTAAAATATAAGAAATATAATTATAAATATTTCTCCTTATTTTTCTATTTGTTGTTAGGTTAAACACATTGAAAAAATTGAAAGTTTGCCGGTGAGTACTTGTGAAATACAACGTTACAGAACAACTTATCCCTACTATTTATTTAACAAATCTAGAAGACCGGTCAATTATCATTGTTATTCAAAACATCTACAACAAAGACAACAACGAAGAAAGAAAATGATAAGATCTCATAACTCACTTTGTGAATTACAGTCTTGTAAAACGAATTCACCAGTAAATTATGAAAATTTTCCTACAGAAGCAATAAAAACCAAATTGACATTTTCAAATAAAATATTTTGTCCTTTATGTTTAAATGGACAAGCATTTATAGAGTTCACTGAATTCATGACACATTTAAAACAAAATCACTCAATTTCTGAATGTGAATCAGTTATGAATGTATTTAAAACACAAATGGAATTATACAATGCACAGAATTATGTCTTTCAAACAAGTAATTTTATTACTACAAGTGTTTCGGTGAAACCTGATTCATCCGAGTGTAATAATCATATACCGCCAATGAACAGCACTGTTACAACTATGTCATTAGCGCAGGAAAGTTCAAACCCATCCAAAAATAATCCTCTATTCAATACTTCTTACAGTCATAATGATATTATGTATGATTTTCAAGAAAATACTAGTCAGACTCGACTAGTGAATTCAGTAGATGTTAATAAATCCATAGAAATGATACCTTCCATTGTTGTATGTCAACCTTCAGTGGTGTTATCACCACCACCCCTATCATTGTCAACTTCTTTCTCACCCTTTTCTAATTCATCATCATTACCATTGTGTTCTCTGAGTTCTTCTACAATTACAAACTCTGCAGTCTCTACACCTAGACCTCTTGGAAGGCCATTATTTATGCCAATTAATTCTTTCACAAAAACTTTATCTACAATCTAAAAGAAGTAATTATTATAAAAACAAATTTGAGTACATATTCTGAGCATTTTAACATAAACATCTATGTATATGATAATTTAAATTCATGTTAATAAAAAAGAATTTTCGATCTTCAATCACTACCTGTTATCGCATTTATCCTATTATTGATCTCAATCATCAATGTACTATTTTCCATTTGTTAAGTTTCCAGAAAATCACCAGTATAATATGAGTATATATATATATATATATATATATATATATATATATATATATATATATATATATATATATATATATATATATATATTGGAGAATATTGTCTAACGAATGAAAGTTCCAAAACTAATTTCTACTCATTTTACCAATGTAAAATATAGAAAATACTGACTTATTTGTTTGTTTTAAACATACTCATGCTCTATTTATAATCATTACTAACTCAAATAAACAGTTAGTGAATACCTATCTTCAAATTCTATATATTTCATATATTGTTTTAATTTTCTTTCTTATCTGTTTTTATTAAATCAAGAATAAACAAATGCAAATGAATGAATATATTACTTTAGTAAAACAAAGCAAAATGAATTTCCAATATCATCTGTATTTCTTTTCTAATAACATTTTTTCTCACTTTCTAATGATATTACTTATAATTAATTAATATCATTTTTCCTTTTTTTATAAGGTTTGTACATATTGTCATGCATACTTTAAATTTGAACAGTTTTTACCTATGTTTTAATAAGAGAATCAACAGTTGAGTATGAAAGCAGGTACATATACAGACTCACTTATGGACATACATCATTGCATACAGATATATACAGACTAGAAGGTTAACATACACTAACAAATCACTTCACAGTCAATGTAACCGATTACATATATATATATATATCCTACATTTGTGATTGTAACTATAGGCAAAAACATGATAAATAAACTATAAAAAAGGAAATGAAATGAAAAGGGGAAAGACAAAGAGAAAGGGAAAGGAAGAGAGGTAAAAGAAGATTGAGTATCAAAATTTATGAGATTAATTCTTGCAGATATAAATATAAAAGTACAAAATAAATAATAAATATATTATTCATTTTATGTGCAAAGAAAAATTAAATAAATCTTCTGGTGTATTGATTTATTCCTTTGATTAGTTTACCGAGTAATAGTTTCTCATTCTCGGGTGTTATTACATAATATCGTTATTGTTAGATGTTTATGTTAAATAAATATCTTCTAAAATGTATATTTGAAAAGAATAAGAGAATATATGTGTTTGATTATTATATTTTCTATGAATCAAATTTAGATTAAAACAAATTCAACCGGGTCTGTTGTGAGATAGTAACTCACTGATGACAATAGTTGACGGTGGCGCGATTTCGTGGATTAGTTGAAGTTAAACATTGACAACGTTGGATACCGGCTCAGTTGGTTTAGAGGTTAGGAGCTCGCGTGCGAGACTGATAGGCCCTGGGTTCGAATGTTGTGAGGTGGGATCGTAGATGCGCACTGCTGAGGAGTCCCATGCTAGGAAGAAACGACCGTCCAGTGCTTCCAGATTTTCCATAGTGGTCTGGCTTTAATTGACTCATGAATTCAACTATTAAGATGAAAATTAACAGTCGGTAATAATAAAATCGTGGTAGATATTAATTGTCAAGTGAGAAATTCAGTATAAGGAAGAATGAATCTGGTAAGAAACCATGGAGATGATTTTTAAAATAACTGAATCATACCAATAAACTGTGGTTATTAGTAATCCAAATGAGTTACGAGAATCGTATAACTTTCCCAAACGCTTAATTACATATTCATTTTATGTGATAAAGATATGTTCGAAAATTGTAGAATTATAAACATTCATAGATGCAAATTAATCACTTTAAAATAAACACTGGTATATCACAGTTATTTTTATGAAAATCATTGACTGCAATTTATGCTATATTCTAGACAATTAGAAAAAAAACAGTTACATTTGTTAGTTACGATTGCATATCATGGAAAATAAATCGACCAGCTCTTTTGCGACAAGGAGATAATTAGCCTTTGAAATCCGTTTGTGTGGATAGATAACCTCAATAAATACAAAAATGTTCTTGAAACCTTTTTGCCATTTTTTAAACTGTAAGCAAGCAGGAAGAACAACTAGGAATTTAATATTGTTGTGTATGTACGGTTTGTTTGAATAGTTTTAGAATTTTACTTTGATCAATCACTAAGTGATAACCGATGTCGTACTTATCTTTTCCTTAGTGTTGTTTCAATTTTATGGATCGAGTTATAAAAAGATACCTAAGTGATTTGTTACTGCAAACACTGCTATCTTATGTTGAGTGTTAAGAAGAAATTCGTCGAAAAAACAGAATCTATTCTTTGTACTAGTTGATACTCCCCAACAGAGGATATCTTCTATCTTAGAGTTTTTAAAAAGCTTTTCCGCATTGAAATTTCAGGTAATGGAACTTAGTTACACTCTTATCTCAATCCTCTGTACTGCATAAAGTAGTTCTACTAATGCTTCCACGGAGCTCCAGTAATCTTTATTACTCCACTCATTGAAAGGTCAACAAAATGGTGCTATAGAACTACAAATTAAAGTTCATAAACGGATATCTTGATCTGTCTAAGCAGTTGTAGGCCACATCAATGCTTATTATTCAATGTTTCACAAATAACATGATCTATTTTATGGTTAACATTGAAGAATCAAGGGAAAGGTATCCAGTCCTAGTCGAATTATATTTGAGGCGAAATTTGCAAAGTCAATGGAGTATCATTTTTTATGGTTTTACACTCACGTCATTTATTCTTTTTTCTGTAATGGTACAACAGACTTTATCGTTTATATTGACAGTTTTAAGTATCACCTACATGATTCATCAGGTGAATAATAGCTAACATTTAAGAAGATAATTGCTTATCAAAGTTCTAAAATACATTGAAGAACAAGATGTATCTGAAGTCCATAGGCATTTAATTCAGTTATGCAGTTGAGGAGTGGTATGATGATTAGTGCTTAGATTTTTATGTGTGGTCAGAATCTTCCATAAATGTCTCTGATATTTCTTGAACAAGAGTAGACTTCCGCTATGAAAAAAGTTATTACACTACACGTTCAATAATAACTATTGTCAGTTATTCAATTGGTTGCACGAATTTAAAACTTTAGGAATAAATCAGATGTTTAATCTAACAACATAGATGTTCTCGCCTGTATTTGTGACTGTATGCAGTTAACTTATTGTTCTTTAGGAATGTGTACTTCATAAGTTTATACATTTTAGGGGTAAACTACTTCCCTACGAAGTCAGTGGTTGTATACTCATTTAACCATTCTATGAGGATGTATCGTCATCAATCATAGCCTCTTCGAATAACACGTACTTATTGCTTTCTGTTAAGAAAGCTAGACAGATGGAAAATATGAAACATGATAATCAATTTTTTATTGAATCAGACTGTATATTTTCAATGACCGTTTGCTAATCAGTTGGTTTATGGTTTTCTATACAGTTTCGATTCTTCGTTTTCACTTAGTTCATTTAATATTGCTGTATCTTTTACTGTTCATAGATAATAGTAAACCAAATGAAAACATGTTACTAAACTGTATCTCGGAAACGTCCTTTCATAGTGCAATTATTGTGGTTTATCATTTATGGTTCGTTGTGACTTATTATCTGAAACATTTAATGATATGATGGGTCTTAAAATAAAATGCATGCTGCCACTTAATATGCAACTCAGTTAATCCAGTTGACAGACTTGGGACAAATGGATATTGCTTGGGAATGCCGGTCGTGAGAAGCATAGTTTAGAAATTGAGTGGACAAGATATACAACATTCTCCTATCGAATCAGTACGGGATTACGAATTAGGAATCTTTTAAATATTGACGTTTGGTTTCAACGTATTTTCATGATTCAAGAACAGAAATATTTCTAGAATGTTAGAGGAATGATTACACTAAACCTTTTGTGGATGAAACGTCCTGTGCATACAGTTTACTACATCCCGCCTGGATAGTGGATACTCACTGCCGAGAAGTTCCATACTAGGACAAAATAGTAGTTCAGTGCTTTCAGGTTCAACCATGTCTGTTGTGAAGCAGTTACTCATCGAAAACAATGATGGATGACAACGCAATATTTAAGATTGGTTAGAGTTAGCCATTAACACCACTGGATACCGGTTCAGTGGTCTAGAGGTCAAGTGTTTGCACGCGAAAACGAAGGATCTAGGTTCGAATCCCTCATGCGGGATCGTGGATGCGCACTACCGAGAAGTCCCATGTTAGAACCAGACGACTGTCCAGTGCCTCCAGGTTTTCAATGGTGGTCTAGCTTAAATCGACAAATGAATTCGACCATTAAATCATTGATTACTTTATTGCCTTATGTTTCGTACTCTTGATAAAAGTAATTCTTCAAATATTCACATTTCACTATGTCTTTACATAATTATTCATTAAGCGTAATCTTAACTGGCCCTCGAATATCTGATTTCAGTTAGATCGTAGGAATGTTTGTTATCGAAATATACATGTTGCCAATCCTCGCATATAATTATCGACTTAACTCGCATTAGTGAATAAGGGAATTAAATAAGCGAAATACGAGAATGGATATTTCGTGTAGTCGTTGATCGGAAAGCAAAGCAAAACAAAATGACGCGCAATCAAGAAGGCGAGTGAGCCAACTCAATTTAACCAAGTGTTAATCGATATTTATAGTCTGATATAAATAAGTGACAGACATGTGATGAGTAATATGGGAATGCACATACATACGCTTACATGAAATCAGTCACGGTTGATAGGCGAATAATTAACAAGGTCAAAATGTGACTCACGTTAGAATAAGCTGTGTCGGCTTAACATATCAGCTGACACCACAAATCACATCTAATAAATGAAGTAACAATACTAGAATAGTTTGAATGAGGGATATTTATGGTATTGAGAATTTTGTAGATTGGTGAGTTTACAGTCATGCTTAACGGACTG